AATCTCACTATGTTGCCCTTGGTAGAATGCCATGGTGTCATAGCTCACAGCAACCTTAAACTCTTAGGGTAAAATGATTCTCTTACCTTACTCTCCCAACTAGCTGGGACTACAGGTGCCCACCACAATGCCCAGCTATTTTTTGTTGCAGTTGTCATCGTTGGTTAGCTGGCCCGGGCTGAGTTTGGGGCCGGGTTCAAACCCACCAACTTGCATGTATGTGGCTGCTGCTGTAACCACTGTACTACAGGTGCTGAGCCGCTTTCTTTTTTTTGAGTCAGGGTCTCACTCTGTTGCCTGGGCTAGAGCGCAGAGGTGTCATCATACCTCACTGCAACCTCAGATTCGTGGGCTCAACCCATCCTCCTGCCTCAGCCTCCCAAGCAGCTGGGACAACAGGCACCCTCTACCAAACCCACCTAATTTTTCTATTTTATTGTGGAGATGAGGTTCTCACTTGTGCTCTAGCTGGTCTCGAACTCCTGGCCTCAAATGATTTTACCATGTAGGCCTCCTGCAGTGCTACGATCATAGGCCTGCCTGACCTCTGTTGCCTTTGTATCAGGGTTCTCTGATACTTTATTTAATATATTTTGTTGTAGGTGATACAACTCCTGGAGCCACTTCACAGTATAAAGAAAGGATGCCTTCTGTCACTCATAGTCCAGAAATAATGGATTTATCAGAACTACGGCCATTTTTCAAACCAGAAATAGCACTGATAGAAGCTCTGAGGCTTTTAGCTGATGAGGATTGGTAAGTTCACCATGTTTAACTTAAAACCAAGCTGAGTTCCAAAAGTTTTCTGTAGATTTTTTATTAAAATCCTTGAAACATATTTCCTATTAAAATAGTCTTAGAAACAATTATTTTAGTTTTTTGGCATTGGAATCCTTTCGATTTATTAATGCAGGTGAACTCTGTCCTAGTAGTACTGTATTACCAGTTGTATTATAACTTATATACCAAAAGGATATAGTTTGGCTTTATTATGGATTATATAAACTCATTGGTATTCAAGTATAAATTTCCACATTTCTCAAAGTAATTCTCTGTGAAATGTAACTTGTAATGATCCTGGAAATACTCATCTGCTCGTGCTACAGCTACGGCCACGGCCAGCCCAGCCAGTAATGTAGGGAAAACAAAAAGACAATGAGAACATGGATCTCACTTGTTTCAGCTTGAGGATTCACTTAGGCGCTACTTTTGTCTCATTTCCTTCCCTGTTCCTTCAGTATGTCCCTTGGTCCCCATTCCACATCTCTTATTCAGTTTTGTCTCTGTGTGAGAGCATATTCATCAACTTTAAAAGGTGCTTATAGTGGCCGGGGCACCATGACATATGCCCATAATCCTAGCACTCTGGGAGGCCAAAGCCGGTGGATTGCTTCAGCTCACGAGTTTGAGATCAGCCTAAGCAAAAGCAAGACCTCAGTTCTACTAAAAATAGAAAAACTGAGGCAAGAGGATCTCTTGAGCCCAAATTGGAGGTTGCTGTGAGCTATGATGGTACCACACTCTACCCAGGGCAACAGGTTGAGACTGTGTCTCAAATTAAGAAAAAAGAGGCTTGGTGCCTGTAGCTCGGTGGCTAGGGCACCACCCACATACACCGGAGCTGGTGGGTTCAAATCCAGCCTGGGCCGTCCAAACAACAATGACAACTACAACCAAAAAATAGCTGGGCATTGTGGCAGGTGCCTGTAGTCCTAGCTACTTGGGAGGCTGAGGGCAAGGGGATTGCTTAAGTCCAAGAGTTTGAGGTTGCTATGAGCTGTGATGCCACGGCACTCTACCAAGGGTAACAAAGTGAGACTGTCTCAGGAAAAAAAAAAAAGAGAGAACATTCATGATTTATGGAGAATCAAAATAGCAACATTAATAATTCAGAAGAAGTTGGCAGCGCCTATGGCTCAGTGGGTAGGGCGCCGGCCCCATAGACTAAGGGTGACGGATTCAAACACGGCCTCAGGCCAAACTGCAACAAAAATATAGCCAGGTATTCTGGGGGGCACCTGTGGTCCCGGCTGCTTGGGAGGCTGAGGCAAGAAAATCACCTAAGCTCAGGTGTTGGAGGTTGCTATGAGTTCTGATGCCACGGCACTCTACCAAGGGCAATAAAGTGAGACTATCTCTAAATAAAAAAAAATAAAATTTGGAGGAAGTTGATTCTACCCCTCATAAGTGACTTTGAGGGCTTCGAGATTTCTGTGGTGGGAGTACCTACAGATATGATGGAAATAGTAAGAGAACAAGAGTCTAATGATATGACTGCATTGCTCCAATCTCATGATAAAACTTAAATGGATGAGGAATCGCTTTTTTGTGGGTGGCCAAGAAAGTACCCCTAGTGATGATGCTGTGAGCATTGTTGAAATGTCAACAAAGAACTTAGAATATTCTATAAGGTTAGTTGATAAAGGAGTGACAGGGATTGAGAATATTGGCTCTCGGTGGCACCCGTAGCTCAGGGGTATAGCACCAGACACAGACACTGAGGCTGGCAGGTTTAAACCCCACCCAGGCCAGCTAAAACAACAATGGCAACTGCAACAAAAAAATAGCCAGGCATTGTGGTGGGCGCCTGTAGTCCCAGCTACTTGGGAGGCTGAGGCAAGAGAATCGCTTAAGCCCAAGAGTTTGAGGTTGCTGTGAGCTGTGATGCCCAGCACTCTACTGAGGGGGACATAGTGAGACTCTGTGTCAAAAAAAAAAGAGGAGAATATTGACTCTAATTTTTTTTTTTTTGAGACAGAGCCTCAAGCTGTCCCTCTGGGTAGAACACTGTGGCATCACAGCTCACAGCAACCTCCAACTCCTGGGCTTCAGCGATTCTCCTGCCTTTGCCTCCCAAGTAGCTGAGACTACAGGCCCCCACCACAACACCCAGCTATTTTTTGGTTGTAGCTGTCATTGTTTCTGGTGGGCCTGGGCTGGATTTGAACCCGCCAACTCAGGTGTATGTGGCTGGCGCCTTACCCGTTGAGGCACAGGCACTGAGCCTTGACTCTAATTTTTGAAGTAGTTCAGTAGTAATAGGGTAAAATGCTGTCAAGTAGCATCACATGCCACAGAGAAATCTTACATGAAAGGAAGAGTCAAGTCAGTATGGGAAACTTTATTGTCTTATTTTAGGATAGTGCCCTGGCCACCCCAACCTTCTCCCTGATTGGTCAGTAGCCGTCAATATGGAGGCAAGATCCTCGACCAGCAGAATGATAACTCTCTGAAGGTTTACATGATCATTAGCATTTTTAGCAATGAAATAATTTTTAATTAACGTACACCGATTTTTTTTAGACATAATGCTATTGTACAATATAATGTAGACATAACTTTTTATGTACTGGGAAATAAAAACCTTGTATTTTATTGCAACTTTTGCTTTATTGTGGTAGCCTGGCACTGAATCAACAGTATCCCTGAGGCGTGCTTCCACTCACCAGCAAAGTAGCAGGCGGTTAATTTTCTTCTTCCATGTTTGTTTATTGTTTTCCACATCTTTTGTTTGTCATTGTTTTCTTTGCTCTGCTCTCTAGAAAGAATATGCAATAAGTATTTCTTTTTATTTACAGAGAATTAACTTAGTTTGACTGTCATTAGTGATTTTAGGTATTAAAAGAGCTTTCCATATTTTTTATTTGAGATCTCGAAATGATAAGTGAAGACAACTGAGGTCTCTTTATTGGTATATTCCATACATTAAAAAGAAGACGTCTGAAAAACACAAAAAAGGGGACATGTGATTTTGTTATTTCTTTTTCCTATAGGGAGAAGAAAATTGAGGGACTGAATTTTATTAGATGCTTAGCTGCTTTTCATTCTGATATATTGAACACAAAGTTGCATGAAACAACTTTTGCAGTAGTTCAAGAGGTAAGTGTATTTCCTAGATGAGACATGGATTGTTGGAATAACAAAGAATAAATATGCCACACTTATTTGACCTTTAAATTTTTCTTTGCTATTACATAAGTAGGCTTTATACAGATATTTAGTTAAAGTATCCTGTGTCTCAATGTGCAACATTTAAAAAAAATTAGGCCAGGTGCAGTGGCTCAGGCCTATAATCCTAATACTCTGGGAGGCTGAAGTGGGTGGATTGCTTCAGCTCAGGAATTTGATACCAGCCTGAGTAAAAGCGAGATCCCATCTCTACTATAAATAGAAAAACGGAGATAAGAGGGTCACTTGAGCCCAAGAGTTGGAGGTTGCTGTGAGCTATGACATCATGGCACTCTACCCAGGGCGACGGTTTGAGACCTTGTCTCAAAAAAAAAAATTAGATGTTGATTTTTAGGACAAAAGATAATGGTAGAATATGTTTCTTTAATAGTAAGATTCATTTCAAAGTAATTTAGCAAAATCTGTGTTCTGGTAACTGTTCTAGGTAAAAAATTTACGCTCTGGAGTTTCTCGTGCTGCTGTGGTCTGTTTAAGTGATCTTTTCACTTATCTGAAAAAGAACATGGATCAAGAACTAGATACTACAGTAAAAGTCTTACTGCATAAGGCTGGAGAGTCCAATACCTTTATCAGAGAAGATGTTGACAGGGCGCTGCGGGCCATGGCTAACAGCGTAACTCCGGCACGCGCAGTCATCTCTCTCATCAGTGGAGGGCAAAGGTACTGTTCAGAATAATCTTGAAATACCTTTTTTTTAGAGACAGAGTCTCACTTTGTTGCCCTTGGCAGAGTGCTGTTGCATCACAGCTCACAGCAACCTCCAATTCCTGGGCTTAGGCAATTCTCTTGCCTCAGCCTCCTGAGTAGCTGGGACTACAGGCGCTGCCACAATGCCTGGCTATTTTTTGTAGCATTTTGGCCAGGGCTGGGTTTGAACCTGCTACCCTCAGTATATGGGGCTGGCACCCTACTCATTGAGCCACAGGTGCCACCCAATCTTAAAATACCTTTAAACTAAAGTGGAATGTTACGGTCTCAGTATAGAAACAAGTAAGCAAATTACAGCATTATTTCAATCAACAAATTTATTGAACAATTCCTGTGGGTAAATATATTAACATGCTAAACTTAAAAATAATATTGGCCAGGGTGGTGCTCACTCTTAGCACCCTGGGAGTCTGAAGTGGGAGAATTGTTTTAGCTTACGAGTTTGAGACCAGCCTGAGTAAGGTGAGACTCCGTCTCTACTAAAAATAGAAAAACTGAAGCAAGGGGATCCTTTGACCCCAAGAGTTGGAGGTTACTGTGAGCTATGATGCCAGGGCTCTCTGCCCAGGGCAACAGCTTGAGACTCTATCTCAAAAAAAAAGAAAAGAATAATTAGCTGGGTGTTACAGCAGGCACCTATAGCCCTAGCTACTCAGGAGGATGAGGCAGGAAGATCACTTGAACCCAAGAACTTGAGGTTGCTGTGAGTTATGATGGATGACACCATGGCACTCTAGTCTGGGTAGCAGACTGAGTGAGACTCCATCGCAACTAATAATTCTTTTTTTTTTTTTAAGAGACAAAGTTTTACTTTGTCACCCTTGGTAGAGGGCCATGTGTCACAGCCCACGCCAACCTCCAGTTCTTGGGCTTAGGTGATTCTCTTCCCTAAGCCTCCTGAGTAACTGGGACTACAGGTGCCCACCACAGCATCTGGGTATTTTTTGGTTATAGTTGTCATTGTTGTTTGGCGGGGCCCAGGCTGGATTCCAACCCACCAGCTCCAGTGTATGTGGCTGGTGCCTTAGCTGCTTGAGCTATAGGTGCCAAGCCATAATATTGTTATTTTAATAATGTTTTGTTTTGTTTTTTGAAGAGAGTCTCCCTATGTCCCCCTTGGTATACTGAGTGCTATGACATCACAGCTCACAGTGACCTCAAACTCTTGGGCTTAAGTGATTCTCTTGCCTCAGCCTCCCAAGTAGTTGGGACTACAGGCGCCTGCCACAATGCCTGGCTATTCTTTTTTGGTTGTGTTTGTCATTGTTGTTTGGCAGGCCTGAGCTGGGTTCAAACCTACCAGCTCCAGTGTATGTGGCTGGCGCCCTAGCCGCTGAGCTATAGGTGCCAAGCCTATTTTAATAATGTTACTTACATTCATATATCAGGAACTAAATAAACGTAAGTCATTATGAAGTTTATTTTGAACTTGTTCAGTGGAAAAAAACTAATGTAAATTATTTGTCATTTTAACTTCCCTGGATAATTGTTGAAGAACTGCTTAATTGTTTAAAATAGATCACTGGAAAATAGTTTATCCAACAACATTTTAAGTTATTGTGTGTTCTTGTAGCCATTTACACATCGCAGTAAGACGGTGTACAGCCCAGCACTTATCAGATATAGTGGAATTTATGGAACCAGAACGTATTTTATCTGGAGCAAAGGATATGGCTGAACGCATATTACCTGCTGCTGCTAAGTTTGCTCAAGACAGCTCACCAGAAACCAGGTAAATAGCTGCTAATGGTATTTGCTAAATGTCATTAGTGTAAGGGCTTAAAAAGTAGGAAAAGAGATAAAATTGAAGAATGAACATTTTTCTAAATGGAGAAGTGGGGTTCCCAGGGATTGTTGCTAGGGGATAGCCACATTTAACCAATTTGTAACTGATCTTGAGGGAGTGCCTAGTGAATTCTCCAAATTTACAGATGATACTACATACTTCTGGGTAGTGAGATGCCAAGTCACAGGGATGAACTTCATGAAAACGGCACAAGACTGTATGAGTGGGCAGAAAAGTGGCAGAAGAACTTCATTATGGGCAAATGTAAGGTAATGCATTTAGGAGATGGTGATATATTTTCTAAGCAATCAGGTAAAATAAAAAAAGTAGGTACCTGAAAAATTTTGGAATAACGAATAACAATGTATTATGCCCTGAAACACGAGATATCTGTGCTTGGAGACTTCTGTGAATTTCTTATGGTTATACTTGAACCATAATTTTATAAATGTTAACAGCAATCAGACAAAGAAGACTAAATAATTAAGATGTGTATAATATAATAGTAGTGGTGATGACAAAAATTTTGGATGTAGGCAGAAGCCTAGATTAAATTCCTAGCTCGATCATGATTTGTCCTTAACCAAATAAATTAGCTTCTGTTAGTCTTTGTTTCCTTGTCTGTAAAATTAGGAAGTTTGTACTAGGTGACCAGTAATGTCCCAGATAAAATCTAAAATTTTATGGTAATAATGTACGAAGATAATTAGAAGTGGGAGAGAGGATCCTGAAGTTATAAAAATTAAAGAAAGAGGGCAGTGCCTGTGGCTCAGTGGGTGGGGCGCCAGTCCCATGTACCAAGGGTGGTGGGTTTCAACCCGGCCCTGGCCAAACTGCAACAGAAAAAATAGCCAGGTGTTGTGTTGGGCGCCTCCCAGCTACTTGAGAGACTGAGGCAAGAGAATTGCCTAAGCCCAGGAGTTGGAGGTTGCTGTGAACTGTGACATCATGGCATTCTACCAAGGGCAACAAAGTGAAACTGTCTGTAAAAAAAAAAAAAAAAAAAAAAATTAAAGAAAGATACAAAATTCTTAACATTTTAAGACAAAGATGTTCATTACTTTAGGTAACTGGCATTAATCTTGTCAAACTCATTGCACTTAAAGTGAATACAGAAGGTAAATGTTTAAAAAAAAAAGAAGGTTGGGCATAGTGTTTCAGGCCTATAATTCTAACACATTAGGAGGCTAAGGCAAGAGGATCCCTTGAGCTCATGAGTTTAAGACCAGCCTGAGCAAGAGTCAGACACTGTCTTTACTAAAAATAGAAAACCTAGCTGGGTATGGTGGTGGGTGCCTGTAGTCTCAGCTATTCAAGAGGCTGAGGCAAGAGGATTGGTTGAGGCCAAGAGTTTGAGGTTGCTGTGAGCCATGATGTCAAGGCACCGGGAGACAGGTAGAAAAAAAAAAGACGAAAGTAAATGTATTAGGTTTCTGTTGCTGAGTGACAAATTAACACAGACATAGTAGCTTAAGGCAACACGAATTTCTCACATTGTGTGTCCCTTTTGCTTGTTTTAACCTTTCTCATATTGTTGGGCCCTATAGTAGACCTATACAGTCCTTAATATTTATTCCAGGCTAAATGTTAGAACTGTCTTTGAAATCATAAATGATTAGGAGCTGCTTATCTGGGTATAAACCTTGTTTTGACTGTAGAGAGAGAAAGGTAATGTTTGTTCTCTGACAACAAATCACTTTCTGCAATTTTACTACATTTGAAGGGGTCTGGTTGGTAAAGATGATTTTTATTTTTATTTTTAAGAGACAGAATATTGGCTCAGCGCCTGTGGCTCAAGCGGCTAAGGCGCCAGCCAC